AAGAAAAAAGAAAAAAAATCACAGCACCAGGCACAGCTTCTCACTCCTATTCAGAAAAGTGAACTGCTCAATAATAACAACAACAACAACAACAACAATAACAATAACAATAACAATAACAAAAGTTATTATTAACAATATTATTATTTTTATTGCGCTCTATACCAAGTCCTTCCTAGTGAAAGATGTTGTCACATAAGCCCTTCTTATTTCAGTGGGATACATTTTCAAATAAATCTGGTTACGACTGCAGCTCAACCACTGCTAAGCAATGACGATTTGAATAGCTGGGGCTACAATCCAACTTTGTTCTACCACTGTTGTTTTTCATTAATAGCTAATTTCATTAGAGTATAATTTTCTTTCCCGTCTTCAGCTTGGCTGGCAAAGCAATTCCATACACCAGTAATTCATCCAATATTGTCAAATGGCAGCAAAGCTGACAGGATCCCAAACTGTGACTTTAAATCATCCTTTTGATCATAACAAACCTACCTGAGCCTTCATCTGGTTTTCATGCTCCTGGTGGCAGAAGTCAAAGTCCAGCATTTTCTTTTCCTCAGCATTGCCTGTGACCTTTCAAATATCTCCCGCAGTTTTGCCAAAAGTGTAATTTCCATTGGCATGCATTTCTATAAAATATACACGTGTGGGGTTCCAGTAAAAAAAAACAAAAAAAAACCTCCTTCAGGCCACTTCACATCTGAGCTGACGTGTTCCTCATTTACTTTGCTATCAAAAGGCAAACTCAGGTAGGGACTGGAAAGTATAGTGCAAACTTTAAAGGCAGGAATTTTTCAAAAAGAATCATTGAGAGATTTACCCCCTCCAACCACTGTAGGTTCTGTGCAGAATTGAATTTAGTACCAAAGTTGAATTCTGCTGGATTGGAGTCCACTCTGGATTTTGTCGCCATATACTGCAGAAGCTGACTGGGCAGAGAGCTGAATCTACATGGCCTGTCCTGAGCCTTCTAATCAAACCTGTTGTCTCACATATGGTGGAAGATCTCACCACCTGCCAGGCCATCATCTTCCACATTCAAAATGCAAAGGAGACACCACCTTGTCCTTTGTCTGAAGCAAGAAAATAGCATGTGTCAAGCACTGCCTTGCAGTGACAAAATATGTGACAAAATACAGCCCTTCTCCACATTATCTCCTTTACCTCCCACCTTGCACTTTGCCCTTGTTATGCTCAGACTCGTTTGTCTACTCCATCATTTAACCTTACTGGCGATTAGTTGATAAATAAACTCTGCTCTCTCCCAGTAGTAAGTCACAACTACAGTACACCCATTGAATCAGTGGGGATTTAGGGAATAACTCAAGAGTACACCCATTGAATCAGTGGAGATTTAGGGAATAACTAACCCATAAGTTCCATCGATTCAGTGGGCCTACTCTAGTTGAAATTTGCTACTGGATTTCAGTCACATTGATTCCAGTGGGTTTCTCAACGACATCATAGTGCTCCATTTTGCATAATGATGTAATGGCTGATGTTTAGAAAAACCTGAAAAGAACCAACCACTGAGACTGAGCAACACTGTGTACAATAAAAGCAGAAGGCTGTGGAGACAATGAAGAAGAAAGAAAACAACTCTGAGAATAGACAATGGCAATAGCAACAAGGGCACTGTGGCCATCTCAAGATATCTTCCTTCCTGAGCAAAAGACATGATGACTCCCCCTTTCCATTCCACATATAAAAACTGGTGAGACAGGCCATTACATCTGGCTTCAGCATTGACAGAGGGATATGGTCCTTGCTACATCTAAGGGGAGCAACACTATTTTAGGAGGTGCAGGGCAGGCTTTGTGGCACACAGAGGGAAAGACAAGAGTGTGGGCTTGGGTAGAAGGAGGAGTTGCCACTGCTGGTCCCCTCCAATTTGAGCCACTTGATATTTCAACCTTATGAAGTAATGACTTCTAAGGGAAGATGGCGGCCAGCTAGTGGAGGTCCACGATTTTCCTCTGCTATGGTTTGTTTGTTTTTCCTCCTTTCTGTTTTCGTTTAATTTGCTTACCTTGGACTTATCCTGGTTTGCCTTTTGCCTTTTTGTGGTTATGTTGCAGTTTGTTTTGTTACAGCTTCTTTGTAGCTTCTTTGCAACTGTTGCTGTTTCATTTTTACTCCCATTGACTTCCTTGCGCGGTCACTCCCAGTTTTGAGGCTGTGGTTCTCTGCTGCCTCGGTTGGACGGATGAGCTCCGGCTTCCATTGCATGGACACTCCTGGGTCTGAGGCTGTGGTTCTCTGCCTGCCTCGGCTGGAGGGACGAATTCCAGCTCCCTGGTTTGGGCTGCTGCTGCTCTGCTGTCGGAGGTGTGGCAAGGAGTGCCATGGAGCCCGTTGGAGTGTTGGGGCATCTGTGAAGAACCGTGCTCCTGCCTGCACCCTCAGATAGGCACCTGCTGCAGAGAAAGTCTCCCACTGAGGGGACACTGCTTTGTCAACTGGCAGGGTGGCTTCGGTGAGGGCCCTCGGCTTGGCCTCATGAGGATTTTGGCATTGTGGCTGCAGAGAAAGTCTCCCACTGAGGGGACGCTGCTTTGTCAACCGGCAGAGTGGCTTCGGTGAGGACCCTCGGCTTGGCCTCGTGAGGACTTTGGCGTTGTACTGGTCCCTGAGAAACCTGGCTGGTCGGTTGGTCTCTGGATGGCTGTGGATTGACACTGTTCGGTGCATCAAATCTGCTGATATGTTCCCCCTTGTTGTCTCCCTTTTTTTTGGAGGTTCAGACTTTTGGTGCCCGGTTACTTTTGTCGCCGGCCGCCTCTGTGATTTTATCACCTTCATTGGCTGGATCAAGCTTGCTGCCTTGTAACCCGCTGGGGCATTGGTGAAGATGGCCAAGCCCTAGTAAGGGCTGGTCGTGTTACCAACATCGTTGTTTAGTGGTGACTGGATCACCCCTGGCAGTGAGCCTGTTCGGAGGAATGAGGACTGTTACTGGGTATGACCAGGGGGGTAGTCTGGGTGTGGAGTGCTCTGTCTTTTATTTTATTTTTTATTTTTAAATTATCAAAATTTTTTAATTGTTTAAGTTGTTTATTGTTTAATTTAAATGTACATTTCCTTTTCTTTTTCTTTTTCTTGACAGGGAGTAGAGGGTCTGTCCCCCCAGCGGGGTTCCACTGAACAAGTGATTACAGGTAGAATGAGATATGGTGATGGCACAGTTCCTATTGGTTGCAGAAAAATAGTGAACAGATATTTGAAGGCTGTTCTCTCTTCTGGCACTGTGACCAACCATCAGACTTCAGGTAGTCAGACCAGCCATCCCTCTGCTCCAAATCTGGTATTGTTGAATGCCAGGTCTGTATCCAATAAATCCTAGATTATCCAAGACCTTACCCCGGAGGAGGATGCAGACCCCACATACGTATGCATGCGGGGAAGGGGGTGTTCTCTTGACTCTTGCCTGCCCTCCAGGTTATGCAGTCCAACACCAGGGTAG